CGCGCGCATTGTACACAGAACTTATCCCTGATACTCCATGTGTTATGTATTGGAGGTACTTACAAGTGTAAAACAACGTGTGTGTCAAAATAATCTAAATGGAACTGAGAAAGCAAATTCGTACCCCATAAAGCCTCTCATGTATTGTCGTCGTTCATTGTCCCTCTTCCTTTGTTCTTTCTTCTTGTTCTCTGATGGAGGTTTGGCCAAAGAAATGTCGATATCCATGCCCCCGACTTTCTGTAAAGAATAATTATTTTCTGTTTTTCATATCCATAAATCACAGATATGTGAAAGCAGTTATTTGTGCACAACCCTACTTAGGCCTTTTTCAATCTTTCAGTACATTCCAGTATTAACGACAGATGATGCCAAGATCCAGGAGCATTTTCAGCTGTGTAGTTGCATATTCAATCTAAACACCCACAAAGAATGTGTAGAAAGCGGTACAACATTTCTCTCCACAGACATTTATAACCATTTACAACCTACAGTTCAAAATGGCCTTTCTTCTGTGGTGCTTATCAAACTGCATTATGAGCCAAAGACTTCTAGCTTTGCTCAACTGAACAGTAAGTACATATTTTGAGATTATTCAGTGTGGAAGTGATGAAACACCAGTCTGCCTGCTTATCAAGAAAATAAACATTTGCTGTATGGTTGTAATATTGCCAATGTTCTGTAATTCTTTAACCTTAGTTGCTAAACACAAAAACATTTAATCTTACTGTATTGTTAAGAGTATCCATTGCTTTGACTGCATGATCCCTATCTTCAAAGTGAACAAATCCGTAGTCCTTGATTTTCTTCACTCGTTCAACTTTGCCGAAGGCTTCAAACTTTTCCTTAAGTATTTCTTCTGTTACATCCGCAGTCAAGTTGCGAACATATAGCACTTTAACCTGAAACAAGATTTCAAAGTTAAACAGAGTAGGGAAAATGAACTAATCTTAAACACTCATGAGTAACCAGAAAGTATCTTCCCCGACCATTTACTAGGTGTAATACCAGATTTATCACATTCACATCAATGATTTGACATTAATTCCCTGTTGCCAATGCAACTCTTGCTTTGAGAAGTAACATTTCATAGAGGATCATAGTATCATTTGTAGTAACAAGCTTACCTTAAGCATTGTCTCATCATCTGGCTCTTCCTGAGGATCAGCCCAGTCAACAATAATATCACAACCCCAGACTTTAACACGACCACTTCCCAGTTTCCTTTTGGCAGTGGAAGCAGATTTGTGGCTGTCATATTCCAGGAATGAGAATCCTCTGTTTTTCAGTTTCTGGTTGTCCGCTGATCCATACACGATGACATCTGTGAGACCCTCTAAAAGAAAGAGTATACAGCGTGAAGACAATGGACATGAATGTCATTTATTGATTTCAAAAGAAATACAGAGATAGCCCATACTTGCACAATCTGAACTTATTTTAAGAACAAAGGCTGAAGGGATGGTTAGTTTCATGTGTTACTTAGTTCAATCATGATGCAGTGTTCCAATGGCTTATTTTAACTAACCTGTTCTTTTCCCAAATTCTTCTCGGATTTCCTCCTTTGTTTTATTTTTGGGAATGTTTCCTACGAATAACCTCAGGTTGGCAATTGAGATGTTAACTTTCAACGTCTTGCCCTTTCTGATTTCATAGTTGTCCAGCTGAAATAGCAAGAGATAATCAGCATTAATGATTCCTCAGTTCGTGTAAACAGCAAAAGTGTGCACCAGGCAAACCATGACCCATGCATTTGGGGTACAATGACAAGATCACCTCTGCCTGTGCAAAAGCGTACGGAAACATTTCTGCCTTAAATTACCAGCACAAGGGAAAATCCAATGTAACTTTATTACAGCGATTTACAACAACAATAAATCAACACATTGTTTGCCCTTTGGGGACTTAAGATATAAATTTATTTTGTGGAGAGAGAATAATTGCAATGTTAATTAACAATATTTTTGCAATGTATTCCACAAAACATGTACCTGCTTGACAGCTTCTTGTGCCCCCACTTTGTCACAGAATGTGACAAAGCAGTATCCCCTGTTAAGGCCTGTCAGGGGATCCATCATTAGTCGGAGATCCCAGATCCTTCCGCACTTCTCGAACAATGGAATAAGTTCATCTTCAAACAGATCTTTTGGAATTTTGCCAACAAAGACCTGAAACAATGAACAATGATATTTAATTTTAAAAAGAGAAACAGGGTAAACTTGAAGTGAGACCATAAATTTAATGAGGTTTTTCAAATATCATTTTATACATTCATGTGGCTCTAGATGTGCCTATCCCTCCATTACCAGAAGCAGTACATCTACAGAGCTAGGAGTGAATGAGTTTGGTGTCTGTGCCGCTTTTAGCAATATTCCAGCAATATCACGGCGGGGAACACCAGAAATGGGCTATACACATTGTACCCACGTGGGGATTTGAACCCGGTGTGACGAGCAAACGCTTTAACCACTAGGCTACCCCACCGCCCAGAGCTAGGAATGCCGGTTTTACAAAACTATAAATACGAAACTGAAATTGCGGTACTCCGCTTGCTAAACCTGGATGTCAACTTACTGTCAGAAAGGTCATACCACTTGGCTGTTTAATTCTTAGTCTAGAAGTAAAAGTAGCCCTAAGAACAATTGAGGTAATTCGGATTAGTCAAAAACAAACCTCGTGACCTGGACCTGGCTGTACATCGTCCTCATTTGGTGGAGGTCCTCCATATTTTCTCTGACCCGTAGTGACATCCAATGAATATCCAGTTCTATCTAAAATTTCCTGAAATAGAGAATTACACAAATACATTAGGAATCACCAATTTCTTTTGTCAAAGAAGTGTCTATAATGTCAGAAATATGAAAAAAAAACCAAGTTTAAAGGTTTCTGCCTTTCAGAATCGATTAAGACTTATATTCATAATTTTGTCCAAGAAGACAACGAACCAAAGGTCACAAATGACTTCACATTAGTTTCAACAATAGCTCACTTTCAGCTTGGCTTCATCTGGGCCCTTGGCTTGTGTTGCAGCACCGCCTTGTTTGCTCTTCTGGCGGTACGTTTTCATTTGTCCACACAAAAATGCACTTTTATTGCCCACATGTTCTAAGTTGCTGTCACAAAACTGTTTCAAGACCTCTATTGCATCAGTGGCGTTGAATTCTTTAAGCGCGTCTAGTGCGCGTTCATCTAGATCAGATGGGGTGAGTTTTCCTGAAATGAATTTTGCAACATTAACATGGCTGTTCAACAAATACTTACTGTATGTGATAAGTAATGCTACACCCAAATACTTCAATTACAACAGATAATATACTTTAGCATTATTTCAGCAGTATTGTGTGATCTCACTAGAATGAGGCTGTCTGGCACCTAAGTCAAAAGTTGGCTATTTTCCCATACCTGTTAAATAAATTTTGACCAATTCTTCAGACACTTTTCTGTCAATTCCATAGTCAGTTAATTTTTGCAAGTCCTCCGCTCTGCCGTTAATTTCAAAATCCATTTGGTCGTCTTTTTCGTCTTCGGCTAATAATTTGTCTTCTGTCATTTGGTCCATTTGCTCCTCACCGTTTGTGGTCATTACTGCAAAGAAGAAAGAAAAACATTCAATCACTTCTATTTAATTAATAAGCAGGTCGGATGAAAATTATGCTGAAACATTAAAACAATTTGATCCATACTACCATCTTCAGAAATGTGTTTTATGCCTATCAGTAAAATAACCTTGTTTGACAATCATAATTACTGTTCATGAAAAGGCAACGCACACATTGACAGGGCACATCACTGTTGAACAAAGAATCTTTTTGAACTGTCCTGGAGAAATGTACAAATAATTCCACAAAATGAGACTCATATTGACGTACTTCTCACATTACCACTCATGAATACACAATATACTCCATTATCGATTGTCAATACCCAAGACCGAAGAAAAAACCCGACCGTATCCTGTTGACCTACTTCGAAGACTGATCAGCGTGGGTCGGCGGCAGCCATGCCCACGCGGAGAGACCACGTGTTTGCAAATAGCAAAATCAACTGACGCACAACAGAGATGAAACACTCAACGTGTATGCGAGGTCCAGGACAGATTGCAAACGCTTAGGTTTGCAAATTCGGACACTCAAAATCCACTGTCACCCACATCAGAGACAACAAACAACCAGGACAAAGAAATCCCTTTGTCTTTCACCGCGCACACCATGGCCATGAAGGTGGCGAGAGAAGAGTCAAGCGAAGGCTCATGTTTGAAAAACGTTTTCAGCAGGCAATTATTACTTAAATGCAAGCAAAAATACACAAAATGGTTCCAGGTAACCTAAGCAATAAATTCTTACCTCGCAGAGCTTTAAGAAAACTCCTCTACCGCAGTAAGACCTTTCAAAATTTACTGGTAGAGATTTGTTGGCCAAGGTAGAAAAAGGATAAATGGCGGAGAGGTCACGTGACATATCGTCGGGGGCCTCTTCTTTGCCGACAGGTTACATATTTATCATATTTTTATGTTTTCCTGAACATTAACATTTCATATGGCATAATTAAGTATAGTGCCTTCTGAAAAATATTTTTTGGGTCGTAATTTAAAAATCAATCGTAGTATTTTGTACATCATTCCAGTTCAGTCAACCGGTTTCAGTGTCATATGCAAATTTAACTGTGTACTACTTTCTTAGTGGCTATTTATATTGAGATATTAGGCTTGATGGTTGATATATGTTAAGTATAATAGTTGAGTGTGAAAACATTTATTATAAAGAAAGAATATATGAGCATGCCACCAAAATAACAGTCATACAATATCATACCCTATAACTGTAATGATCGATTGACTGACGCTGCTTTTAACTTTGTATGTTGAAGTTTATTATTTTAAACTTTTACTTTGTATGTTGAAGCATACACACAGTTCAAGCAATAGTTATATATTAATATATTCAACTTATGATTTCACTGTAGTGCGATAGAATTTTTGACGATGTTTTAACATTTAAGAATGCAGATGATTTTAACAACAGATATGGTATATGGTTTGTCGTTAGGAATATGTAAGCTCCATGTGGGCTGCAGTGAAGTTCAGCCTTGGATTTGTTTGCGAAAAGACTTTAGGGCTAAGAGGAAGATCCGTTATTTTAGAGACAGCTAAATCGTGACATGAAATCCTATTGACGTGGCTTAGTTGTTGTGTCGACCATGAAATGTTCACATATTGTTACCATTGTCAGCTTTATGTTAGGGACTGTTATTTTGGAAACCCCAGAAAATGGTAAACAATCTGCTAAGGATTTGACAAGTGAGCCGGGGCATCTGAAACCGTTTGGATCAGGTCGTCCAAGTAGACAGATTGATACAGTCGATGGTTTTCCTGACCAAAGGGCGTTTTTGACAGACTATGTTTTTGGGTCTAAACCACTAAAGATGACAGGAGCTGCAAAGTTATCGCCTGCTTTCACTTTGTGGACAGACGATTATTTTCTGTCGCTTGATTTACCGGAAGACAGTACCGTTCATCTTGAAACAATAAAGAAAGAGAGCAGAGATCAAAATACTGAAGATATGAAGTTTCAAGATTTTATAAAGATTTACAACAAAACTGAACACTACATGGTCGATGGTGTCCCAGAGTATCTTGGGTACAGTTCTGTGTTTATTTTCATGTTATATGTATCTTCAACATCTGCTTTTAGTTGTAAAATTTGTCAAAAAGTGAGTCACTTAGCTTGTATCTTTTGCAATTCATTAATTGTCAAAGGATGTGAGGCAACAATCAGCAATTATATAGTAATCTGTAAGAACTCTGGACCCAGAGAAAATGAAACATTTTTCTCATTGTATTGTAAATTGTAAATGTGTATTTCCAGGGGTGACTTGGTGTTCCCATGTGCAGTCCAGTGTACTCAGTTAATGGAAGAAAGTGTGGTCACTGCGGTATGTCAGATTTCCAAGTGAAAACACAAAAAATGTGCACATGCCATTTTAAATGTTACTTTAGCAAATCCCAAAAATGTAACTTATGAACTGGGCATATTGTCAAGTTTAGTATTGACTTTTAACTAAAGATGTATTTCCAACATATATATTTTCTTAAATCAAATTTTCGGTAATTTATGATCAGTGATGAGTAATGTAGTACACATTTGATGAAGCATTTTATATATTTTTATATAGATGATGTGGTTCAGCAGTGGGGGGAACTAAGTCTGTAGTCCATGCTGATGCTGTAGACAACATCAACTGTCTCTATCGTGGAAACAAGACGTTCATAATGGTGGATACCAACAAGTACAGAGACAAGGTGGGGAGAGTACTAAACACCTTTATACTGACACTATAACCCTTTGATTTGATAGATTTTGGTTCAAAGTAATAAGTTGAGTCCATATTTTCGTCAAGCTTAATGTTTAGAATAGTGAAATTCTTATGAGCAAAACTGAACAACCCCATGAGCCTCCACATTTTTCTAACATTGTATGCCCACAAAAATACATCTAAACAGAAGTGTTTAAACACATGTGTAACTTGACATTACCAACACAAATTTTGAATTATCTTTTTTTCTGAGCCATTCACAATGGTAATTATACAGATCAATTACATATAATTTTCTAAGCCCCCCAAAGTGCGCCATTGTTAACTTCCAGTTCACACAGAAGCAATTAGCACCTGTCATGTAATATGTATACACGTGTCATTCTGAATGAATTAATATAGCCAGAGGGTGTAATTAGTGGGGGCTTGTCCTTCATAGTTAATTCATTGTTGTACATCACTTTGTTCTTTGTTCTTTGTCCTTAGTCATTGTTTGACCTTTGTGGATACTCAGAGGGTCACGTGTAGTTTCACATGTGGGGAGTTAAACACTATAAGATATCAGCTAAATACCTTACCCTTTCCCCCAAGTAACTTGTGAAAATGTTGGCATTTCAAAAATAACTCACAATACTTTTAAATTAAATCATAAACAGTATCATTAAGTCATGGATAGTGCCATAGCACAAGTCATAATTTACCACTGGGTCAAGTCACTCATAATTGATTGATTGAGTTTAGCTTTATGACGCTTTTAGCAATATTCCAGCAATATCATGGCAGGGGGACTCCAGAAATAGGCTTCACACATTGTGCCCATATAGGGAATTGAACCCGGGTCTTTGGCGTGACAAGCGAAAGCTTTAACCACTGGGCTATCCCATCGCCCCACTGATAATACTTTGGATAGTAATATTGCATCAAGTCATAGACGATGGCATTTCATTCATACCATAGATTAGCAGCACTGCATACATTTGTTGATCATACTTTGTGTCAGGTCATAGAAACCAGCACTGCACAAAATCATTGTTTATACCATTGTGTCAAGTCATAGAAACCAGCACTGAACAAAAACATTGTTTATACAAGGCATAGATAGCAGAACTGCATACAATGATTGACTACTATTGTTCCACTGCATCAAGTCAGAGACAGTAGCACTCCATAACGCCTAGTACCATTGCAGTAAGTCATAGAGAGTACCATGGCAGTAGTTCATGACAGGAATTTGAAGTCAATAATTGCAGCATTACAAAGGCATTGCTTGGGGTTTTTTAAACAAAAGAATCTGAATGAATGCAACAATTTTTAGCATAACATTTATCCGCTATGAGAATATTTTAAAATCTTTTTAAAAATATACTGGTTAAAGACAAAACTTCACCTACCTATTTACTAACGCTTAGATACTTCAGTCAAAATGAGGACATGCTGGCCAAAAATAAAGAGTGGGAATTTCCTCGGTATATATATGGGATCCGTAACAGGAAACAGTTTTAAGGCGTGTAATTAGGGAAAGGATGATCCTCTGCTAGAGTCCACACACAAAGAACCTGTCTCCTTTGTTCCCTGGTTGTGTAACAACAAGCTGTCAAGGCCTGCAAGCAATTAACACCTTGCTAATAACTTCCATTAAGCCTGCCTTACAAAGCCTGTCTCCTGAACAATTGGGTGTACATGTGGCATTCAGAGGCTGGCTAATTAGTTCAATATATATTTATGTCAGTTTCCTGGGTGTAAAACTGAGACCCAGGAATTTGAAAGCTTATTGACAGGTGTATGTCATGTTGCACATTTCCAGGTGTCAATTTCTCCATAGTGAAATAATGCATGTTTCTTTTAGCATGCAATGTTTTCAACAAATCCAACAAATCCTTGTGATATTTTGTAAAAGTGATTATAATATAGAGCAATGATCTGTCAAAACTGATTAAATCATGAAAATGTCTAAATGCCTGAAAACAAACTCACTGATGCATGTAAGGTAGCCTGAGTGGTTAAAGTGTTGAAATATACTGGATTGGAAACTAATGCTTACTCGCTGAATACATATAATTTTGATAGAAACAAATAATTCCCTTTAAACTGAAAAGGAGACCAAGTGAGATGGAAGATTCTGAGGAAAACTAGACTTGCTTCATTTAGGGCTTTAGCATTGTAGAAAGGCTGAGTAGAAAGGAAAATAATGTAGTTCAGGTACTATGAGATATACAAACTAGATTGTTGTCAAAACCCCAGCTCACTCTGATAATATTTATCATTAATAATATGAAAATAAGTGTTACCCTTCAGGGAAATACATTTGTTTGCTATGTGCATGAAACAATACTGTTACAAGTGGCAGATATGTATGAATCTGTTAGGATTGTTTTGACGACTTTCTTAAAGAGATTGAGGAAAACTAAATGTTTCCTTTTAGTGACATTCAGTGTAGGCCCAGTAATGAAATGGCAAGTTAACTGCAAATACAGTTTCACACCATAGCGTTTTGATTTGTTGAAGTTCTAATTCTAGAACGTATCACCTCAGTTAAAACAAGTTACAACTCTAAATAAGCTTATGGACATGTGATGTAGCCTTGATGAAGACGTGACACATAATGTAAATTAATTCATTAACCATTTGAAGCATCCTACCAACTAAAAGCATCTCATATCCATGATTGTTATTATTCAGAGATAACTTGTTATAACCACTATAAATATGTATTATGCACAAATGTGAACCTTCACATGTATTATGGAGCGGCATTAATATAAGCCATTTAGGCTTGTTTGCCAATCCTTTTCTTTATTCTTGAATAGAATAAAATATGTTTAAACCAAAAGCATCTCATTGTGCAGAGAGCAATTTCTGCTTCAGACACACACTGTTTAGAACATTTACTAGTGATGCCTATCATATATGAGAATGAAGCTTCTGCTGTTAATGTTGCTGAAGTGTGGAGAAAGCAGGACTAGCCTAGGTGGAACTGGTGAAATCTGTGGACATTCTTCTGTTGATTGTGTCGAAAGCTACATGTCTGTGATGTTACTGGCACAATACAGTATCTGGGGTATTTAATTATAGTCATCTGTCTTACCTTGAGGCACCTGTCACTTGTCATATCAGAAATCACCCAAGTATTCCACTCTGTTAAAATTTATGAATAAACAATGCCTTCTAGAAACAGATCAACATATGTTATATTACGCACCACAGCAATGGTGTACGGTCTTAGAATGATTTATATATCTGTAACATATCAATCTGATTTCAATCAGTGTCCCATCTTTGAATTTACTTGATTACGACACATTGGGTTTCCCTTGTTGTGTTTTGGGAATCTCAGTTGTGAAAGAAACTGTACCGCAGCGAATCATCTCAGTTTAACATGGTGGCACAAACAAATTACAATTTTCTTTCAGAAACACAGCTGTGCCTCGACAACTTGTAAACAGTCAATTAATGAAATTGCTTTACGAATAATGAACGAACTACTACTAGTATCACTTATTCGTCTTATCATAGCCACACTCCATTAAATTCCATTCAGTACTCTAAACTCTAAATGTAAGTTTTTCCAGTACTCCTATATTGAAAAAATAAGGAGTTCATACTTGTGATGTTGAAAATAATCTGGAGCCCTGAGTATAAAATACTGTGACCCCTGAAGGTCCGGGTTAGAATGATCCTTCAGTGACCCATGCTTGTAGTAAGAGGTGACTAACGGGATCGGGTGGTCAAGCTCACTGGCTTGGTTGACACATGTCATCGGTTCCCAATTGCGCAGGTCGATGCTCATGCTGTTGATCACTGGTTTGTCTGGTCCAGTCTGGATTATTTACAGACCGCCGCCATATTGCTGGAATATTGCTGAGTGTGGTATGAAACTAAACTCACTCACTATAAAATACTGTAAAATATAGTATCATTAACTTGCCTTTGAAAAGCAAACTGAGCATAGCTATTCTTCTCTGACAGATTGTAAGTGACCATGTCATTGTGAGGACAGTGTTTTAGTTATATCGTGTGTGTACTTGCTAAAGCAGTGTCTGACAGTAAAATACTTGTGTTTCAGGTAACCTCAAGTATCATTGTTTCGCCTTTGACCCCACGGTTTTATCTCATCTGAAAACAGCTGTGAAAAACTATAAAATGCATTGATAAAAAACTAGATGTTTCTGCATTGCTGTGGCAGTTGTTTTAAACCAACAGTAACTGGTTTAAACATATTTATTTTCAGAAACCTTGGTTGATAAACAAGCATTTTTATGCTTATATAAATACCACCCCAGCAACATAACAATTCCAAAATTGTGATGGTTACAAGTAAACTAAAATATTTAACAACTCATGTGTTCATAGATAAATAAGCATGTGTTCATAAATAAATGAAGCAAAGTTGCAATTAACAATATGATGATAAGTGCTACAATGACAACAAGTAAACACACAGTAACTTCTAAAATAGGCATGTGTGTGTGATATGTTTCAAAAATAAATTCCACAAATACACCTGAATAAATTTAAAAAGGGCTACAGACAGAGACAATACTTTATTTCCTTGAATGGAATTAGTTTTGGATCACAGAGCTTGACAAACGAATAACAACATAAAATATGAGATTACTAAAAACATAAAAAGAGATAAACATGTGCTTAAAAATAATTAAATGAATAAGATGATAACTGGACATTCAACATTTGCTTAAAACTGCAATACTTTGAGGTATAAAAGACGTTCGAGCTGAAAACACAGTAGACTAACAACTAGTCTCTGAAATGAACATATTTTACTGAAAAAAGTTCATAGTAAAAAGAAAAATATATAATGAAAAGGAGCCCTGAGACTTTCTTCATTTTCAGACTGAGGAAATCTAGACTTGCCACATTTTCTAGACTTGCGTGGGCTTTCTTGGATATATTTGCTTCAGGGTCTGTACGACAGACTAAAAACACAAGTACTTGGCATGTTGTCTTGAAGTATGTTTCATACACCCTGATAGTTTGGAAGACATCTATACATGTGAATTATACTTGGACATGGTTGTATCAGATGACTCCATGTCCTTATAAATACTTCTCTCAAGTAGTGTATAATGCCCATCATGTCTCAAAACATTCAACATGTTGAAAAGTTCACAAATCTAAATAGTAATCTTACTTTCCACAATGTATACAACAATGACTTAAATTATTTGATCAACAACCTCTGTAATAACTTGTATGGCCAGAGAATGTTTTTCATGTTGTCATGTTGTATCTTGTATCTTGTATCTTTGTTCATAGCAGCTACAACTGTACACATACATTCCCCAGGAAGCTGTGGAACTGGTCATACACCATGGGTTTACCTGAGATAATTGTTTTTTAAGTCCAGGGTTTAAATGGGTTTTGGGGGCTTAAGGGGCCACATTGGGCATGCTTCAGTTGGCTACTAATTAGTTTAGCTAATTCTTACATACTCAACCCATACCCATCATAGATGGAGCTTTCGATGTCAGACTGAAGAAAGTCCTCCACTGACACATGTAACCTGCAGTGTAATCGCTCCAAGGAGTAAATATTTTAGTTATATGTACCAAACAATGCATGACTTTGATGACTATGGTTCAAACAGCTGACTTGCCCCAGGACCCAAATATTTGTGTCTGGTCTTAATTTGCATGAGGCCAGGATGCAGTATATCTGTCTGGTTCATGGCGGCGTTTGGTGTCAGGAGCCGAGCATCCCATAGCCTTTGATATCTGGGAGTATTCATGACTCTAAATATGAGTTTTTATACTTATCAGATAAAGTGAGTGTTACGACATCCTTATGGGAAAGTAAAATGGCTGAAGGAATTTCCTGTTTGAATACTGAAAGGGCACAATTATTTGATGCGATGGCCTGTTTGGGCAATTTGCCAAGTTTCATTTACTGTGTTACAGTCAGATGTTTGAAATGTCTTCACATATTCACATTTCTCAATGTCATGTAATAAAGAGTAGCATATTAAACAACTGATCTTCTTTGAAAAGTCTTTTGATAATCTCAATTAATATGTGTAAGGGGAGACAACTGGATAGTTTTAGCATAGGACGTTTTTCAGTAGTTTTACACTGGGGTGGGGTTCAACATTTGTTAGGTAAAGCTAGCTACATCTATTTTCAGTCTCGTATAATTTTACCAGCTGGAACAGTGAATAATAATATGAAGGCTGAATATTATTTTCATGCTGAAGGCTGAATATTATCATGCTCCTTGCTGTCTTTTCTCAGGTAGATCTTGATCATCCAGAAGGCCTGTACTCCAGCATGGACGTTGACAGGTTTGTTACTCTTCACTTCAGGCCGCAATAAAGAAAATGCTTGTTCCAGGTTCAGATTGGATCAGAAAGGTTTTATCACAGTTACTATTTAATAATCTTTAATACTATTGGCTTGTTGAGAAGGGATGGTCTTATTTCAAATTTGTTTGTCACAATAGCTCCAGTAGCTGCAACTGCCTACGTGGTGTAGTGGTTAGAGCATCCGCCTGGAGAGCGGAAGGTCGCGGGTTCAATCCCCACCAGCGTCATACCAAAAGACGTTAAAATATGGTACTTGTTGGTCCCTGCCTGGCACTCTGCATTAATGGGTACAACAAGGACTGGTCGGCTCGGAGTCAGTATAATGTGTCTGAGTGGGGTAATCATGCTTCACTGCGGCATGGTATCTCAGTGGGCTTGCACTATAAAACCAGCTTAAGTCTGGGCTAGTACAAGCAGGCACACACATACACGCATGCATGTCATATGAGCGAAATATTCTCAAGCACAACAATAAACCCAATTTCACCTCCCCTTCAGTGGCAGCATGCCAAAAACACTGAATTTAGAATCTGGGTTTCTTGAAGGTAGCTTCAAGCTTTACATTTGAGTTGTGTGTGTGGCCAGGTCACCTGAAACATTTCTAGGGTAGATTCATTGATAAACCTAGTTAAATATGGAGATCATGATTCCAAGTGGATCTTTTAATCACAGTGTATGAACTTTTACATGGTTCCTTCATGTTGTTTAACATAGCATAGATGGCAACTCACACACTTGGAGTTAGACTTGATGTGGTGGGGCAGCTTTGTGATTAATGCAGAGGTACAGATAAGCTGCGTATCTGCATAAATTAGCAAATATTTATGTGAAAACTCAATTCTTATTAAGTCTATTGCGTACAAGTACACTTGAGGTTTTGTAAATACTCAATAAATTTGATGTTACATGCGTACACACAAAATGTCAAAACTTCACTTGCGTACCAGTGCATAGATAAAATAACTGAAACATATTCAGAGGTTCTATTTTAACACATGAACTTGGCAACTTGCAGTCTTTCTTATCGTTTCTCATATTACACATCCAATATAAGTAACATTTAAACTTTATTACATTTTTACAATTAATGAAAAATGGCAAAATACCCAATTGAGTTTGAGTGAGGTGGATAAAATCTATTTGGATACTGAAAGGAAAATTAGGTTACCCAATTGAGATGAACACAAGCGAGTACATAACTCAATGACCCCAAAAGTTGTCTGTAGCTCTGTTAACGTGTCTGCACTCTAAAACCCGTGTTTATTCCCCACTTGAGTACAATGTGTGAAGCCCATACCTGGTGTACCCCACCGTGATATTGCTGCAATATTCCTAAAAGCAGCCTCAAACGCTTGCTTAATCCCTCCCTAACTGATCATTTATATTTATAGTGTTCTTTTCATTATTGGGGCGGTGGGGTAGCCTAGTGGTTAAAGCGTTTGCTGGTCAGCCCAAAGACCTGCTTCGATTCCCTACATGGGCATAAAACTTAACTCGCACACTCTTTTCATTACTTAACTTTTGATTGGGAATATTTGACTTTTTAATCAAGAATATGTTCAGAATCTGAATTGATTTGCTTATCTAATTATCTAACCAGACTGTTTTTTGGAAAACTTGCATCCATGTCAATCCATCCAACCAACAGTTCCAAAGGACTCCGATCATGTTGCACTGTGAGACTTTGCCCCGAACATGACCCCATTCTGTGTCTTTGGCATTTAGAATATCTTGCTCATTGAAGCCTTTAGTTCAGCAGCTATTTGATGAAAGGATTGTTTTTCAGCCAATTCAGTTTTATCCTCTTGGTATGTTATACTGAGGAATATAGTAATCAGCTTGTCTGTCTGTCAGTTCGTTGGTAATCATTCTTTTGTCAAGATGTCAATGTCTAGTCTCTGCTGAAACTAATATTTATGTATTCCCTCATGACACTTTGCATACAAGAACAGGATAATTATAGGTACATTTTGCTATTTAGGGAGTTTTTTAAATTTAAATTTTTGTCTATATCCATGGTAACAGGTATGAAAGACAATGTTTGTATTGATGTGTTTGTCCACACTATATCTCCTAGACTACAGGGTCTTCATTTGTGAAAATATATATGAAAGAGGTGAGGTAGTCAAGTGGTGCCTTTTACTATTCAAGGAGCATAGAAAATTTTTTACGCATTGAAAATTACCAATTCACCACGATTCAAAATGTTAGATCACATAAAAGTTTAAAACAAGTTTATATTTTAACTTGGATCTATATGCTATTTTCCAGACAAGTGTTATGTATCCCTGTATCACTGATTTCAACAGGGTTTGAGGTATGAGGCAGAACATACCTCTACTCATTGACAAGTACTTAGGTGATATACTTCACATATAACAAACTGCGGAAAATGAAACACCACAACATTCATAATAAGAAAGATTCAGTGTCGGAGCTAAATCTTATCTGGAGCTCTGTTTTACTATTCACTAAAATTTAAAACAAAACAAGACTCGGATCAATGTAATTTCCCTGTATCAAGTACCAATGTGCATATACTATGTCTTGATATATTCAACTGCACACCACACACAACAGATTTTGTGTTTAACGTTTGATAAAAGAAAAAACTTTTCTTATTCCTATTTAGCTAATATGCAAAATTTGACTCTTTGTTTTACTTTGTGTTCGTACTTGCTAAAGTAATGTCTGACGCATTAAGTCAAGACGAAAAACTCCTGAGTTTCAGGTTTCTAAATGTTTCAATATTTACTAGTACTGTACCACCAAGATCATCACCCAGTCTGACATTCTAAACCTGACATGGTATTCCACAACCTTGTTTGTGGTTATGCATCTCGCATTCTGTACTTCAATAGAGTAATTGCTGAATGACATAATGTAACAAGTATACCAAGGCACTGTAAGCAGTTCTGCCTGGATGGTGCATGTCCTTGGGGTACAGGCTACATTGATGTGTTCTGTATGGCCGGCTACATGAGCATGGGGGTTATTCCTTTGTGTTGTAGAAAGGGGCAATTGGCGTTGTTACGCAATACTGTGGCCTGGGATTGGGTAATTATTGTTCAGGAGCAGGAGGTCAATGGGGCGTGTAGAGGCATTTCCTGTTCACTAATGTTCAAGTAATGTAGAAGGGTAATAGGTATGGTGTCAGATAATACCTGCTAGTGTTGGCTGTAATAGATCTCCTTTGTGACAGGAGAGAGTGTACTTCAGGCTTACCTTGGCAAATACAGATGATTAAATGTGAGGAGGATTATGGGGCGTGGTTGTACTTTTTCTTTGATGTTTTTCTGATAAATATCTGTTCATTTAATGTGACTGGAATGTTATTTTCATGCAAATTGGTTTGACTTTTAGAATTCAGGCTGCATAAATGTAGCTCAGCTTGCTCAAACTAGTTTCAATTATAAATAGATGGCGTGCATCTTCATTAGGGTGGCCACACAAACAATCTGCTCTCTCTGATATATGTCTGTTGTGTTTGTCAGCGTTGAGATTGCTACATCCTAACCTTAAGCGACAGTGGAGGATTTGACAAACTCTTGAACCTATATTTGGATCGAAATGAATGTCTTTAGCTCTATGACTTAAAGCAGATTTAAAATCATTGATGTCTGTAAGAGATTTAATATTTTGCGGTAAAGCATTCCATAAACTTACAGCGTCCGGTAGAAATGAATTATCATATAGAGCAGTACGGCAGGCAATAGTTTGCAAATGCGATGCGTTACGTGAGGATAGTTACTGACTTGAGAGGCGAAGGGAGGGGACGAGTTCGTTTAGATAGTGGGGTAATCTGTTATGATACATTTTGAAAAATGTGATTAGTTTAGCTATTCTTCTTTCGCGAAGAGAAACAGAGGATGTTTCAACGTAGATTTTATCGCAGTGACTGGTGCCGCGAACAGCTCCACATATCGCATTTAACGGCGCCTAAGTGCATGTTTTCCAAGATTGTTGCTTGAGTTTTGGTACAATTGTCATAAATATGGCTACAGTAGTCAAAGATCGAAGTATAAACGGCGATATACATACTGATTCAGCGTGTTTCTCGTTAGTCGATATTTAAGGCTTCTTAAGCAATTTATCATGGGGCTGACTCTCTTAACGATATCGTTTATATGTATATCCATGTACAATCGTTTTGAAGAGTTATACCTAAATGTTTATGGCTCCGAAGTTTCTTCAATTCGAACGTCGTTGAAAAACAAGCTTGGATGAGGATTTGAATTTGGTTTCCTACTGAATAAGACTGTTTTAGTTTTAGATGGGTTGAAATCGATTTTCCAGGTTTTTGCCCAGTTTGCTATTTTTAGTAGATCATTATTCAGACTAAACGCTGCTACGTAAGGGTCATCTATTATTACATAGATAGAAGTATCATCTGCAAATAATCGTATATTATTGTCAATGCCTTCAACAATATCATTTATGTAGACCAAAAACAGAAGTGGTCCTAGAACAGAACCCTGCGGGGACTTCAGCTTTTACCGGTTTAATATTAGAACTATAACCATTTATGACTACATGCTGGGATCGATATTCTAAATAACTTTTAAACCATTGTAATAGTGAACCATCGATTCCACATGATTTTAGCTTATGCACGAGACACCTTTGTGCCATACTTTCGATCAAAAGCTTTGCTGATATCGCCAAAATACTGCACGTATTTCGTTACCTTAGGTCCATTGCCTTGGCTATGAAATTATACAAATATGTCAACTGATTCACGCAAGAGTCCCTGGGATGAAACCTGACTGTAAATTGGATAAGATGTTATTGCCTCTGAGATAGTTGAAAACATGTTTGAATATACATCGCTCAAATATTTTAGATACACAACAAGTTAAGGCTACTGGTCTGTAATTTGTACAATCATTTACACTTCCCTTTTGTGAATCGGTATAACGCTTTTGCTTCTTTCAAACTGCCGGAATACGCTGCGTTGTTGAAGTGATAGATTAAAAGTCCCGTTAAAGGGGTGAAATACTGACAGCATTAATTTAAGAATTCTATTTCCAATGCCGTCAGGGGCGGTTGCTTTCACAGTATTAACACTCATTAAGATATCATATACTTCACTGTTAATAAGATTAATTTCTGATAGACTATTGATTGTCTTTATATTGATATTGGGGGTGTTGAATCCAGATTTCTACTGCGCGATTGCCGAGTGAAATAATCATTTAGAGAATCAGTTATATCTTGTAAATCTTAAACTACGACATCATTGAAAATCAACGGGGAAAATTATAGTTGTTTTATTTCTCTTCACATAATTATTGACTAATTTCCACCAACATTTGTCCGTAGTGGATCGATTTATCGTTTCATCTAGTTTATTTGCATGCAGCTCTTTTCACTTTTCGGATAGCGAGATTACTCTATTTCTACTTTGTCTGAATTGAGCCCAACGGGTAACAGAATTTTTCCTCTTAGCGAGCTGATGATGTCTATTGGCGCTGCATTATTAGCGATCTAGTTTCGTTATTCATCCAAAGTGGATCAGATGGTCGAATAGTAACAATTTTATTTGGGATATTCTTGTCACAAGTATTCCTTATTATAGTCGTTAATTTATTTGCTATGTCATCCACATGGTTGTTTAAGAATAAGTCATTAGTGTCAAGATTATTGATATCAGAAATCATACCATTAACGTCCATATGTTGATAATCATATATTTTACGTTTAAATGTATCACACCTGGGTCTAACAGATTTGATATCAACATATATCGGACACTGCAAATAGGGTCTAACACCCCGCGATCCTGCACATTTTGCATAGAGGATATAAATATGAGATCAAACACTGATGTTAGACCACATGGCTGTAGCAGAAGTCATTGAAAATTCCAATTTAGAGGAAGAGTCATGAATTCAGAATTAAACCTTTTTTTGAAGTTCTGTTAATATATATAACTAGTAACTGTTAATAAAATTTTGTTCTGGCTCTATAGAGATCACTTGTGTGTCATTAACAATAGGAGCAAGTAAAAAAGAGGTTTAAATGCTAAGTTATATATTGTTGTATTGAATGCAATCTCAGTATACAATGTTAAAATGCATCTCAATTGAACAACGTAACAATTTTTTAACAAATAAAACTTCTAGACAAATTTACATTTTTGTCCCCCAGATTTTCCTGCCCCAGGTTGTAAGACAAAGTTATGTAGTATATAAAATTTGGCCCCAGGTTTTAAGACAAAGTTATGTAGAAATGGATGTCCTGAAACAATATTTGTCCAATAAAATATTCACTCTGTACTGAAAATGTCAGTCTCCTTGCTCCGCCAGAAATGGCCACCTGACCCATCATACCCTTGAAAAGACATACCACTGGAAGACAAACTTAGTACAGGCAGCTTGGGGATTGCCCAGCTCGTTCAAACACATCCAAGTCCATCAGGTACAGTGGATGTATACTAATCCATTTAAAGGTCACATGCAACGAAAACACAACTTTGCAGATTCTGATACCTTTCGCATGGACTTACCGAAACAAAGCGTCAAAATGCAAATTCAACTTATAAAGTTGAAAAATAATAACGCGATGATGAAAACCGCTACAAATCGGAGTTCAAACGTTTTCACTAATTTTCCCCAGACTTTTCTGGGGAATAATGGTTTCAACAGCTGGCTGGCGCCATAGCACGCATGCGAGTGAAATAGGTTCGCGCAACTTGGAAGCCGGCTGTCTGGTGAATACCGGGTGAAGGCTTTGGTGTGAGCTATTTTCATAATGTTTTGTTGATATCTCACAGGGCGAAGCTTTTGTATGTTATGACAGTAAATAAACTGTTTATATAATTTCATTTGTCTATTTCACCACACGCTCTTCTTACCGAAGTCACTTTCTCAGTTCGATACTTAAAAGCAATGTCATTATTTAGAGTTGACAGAATTTCTAACTGTGATATAGATATGTCGCTGTCACAGACAAAACTCAATGTCTTGTTTTATTGACACCTGTGTGTCTGCCTGCCTGTCTGCTAATGACAATATTCAATACACAACTGCGCATCACTGACCACATGCAATTTGAACTTAACACCAATCAGGCTATACACCATAAACAAAACGCATTGATTTATGGCCCGAAGTTCGGTCTCTGTCACATTATGTAATTACACAGACAGGCAGGTGTGATACTTGAACACATGACATGTTATGATGTCTGTTGATTGCAAAATGTTATACACAAAAATGAGCATGTATTTACAAAACCCAACTTTCTATATATACACACACAATGAGCCATGAAGGCGTGCATCTGCTAATGAACCAGCCGTTACACTTGAGTGCACACCCACCCGCTCTGACTGGGTTCGTATCCCGCTGCTTCGCTTCGAGGGAGGTAAACCCAAGTACAAAATATTGCACTTTTGATTTGCGACATTATATGCTTATAATTTTGTTTATTTGTTTTTCATAATCAGCAATGCATATTATATGTCATGAAGAAGTGATAATTGTGTTTTAATTATGTTTGATTTTTGGTTGCATGTGACCTTTAAGTGTGGTGTATAACTAAACTCACTCACTCTGAATATAGTTACATAGGTAAAAAGGTAAGAAATGGCATTGAATGATATTTTCATATGTCAAGTCTTTTACTTGATCCGATACCTCTCTGCATGGAGGACGGGCATTGTGTCCAGCATATACATGTCCTGGAAGATATATAGGTTATCAGCTGAGGTGTGTTTGGGATGGTTAATATCCTGCATTAGGAATAAACATTGTATTTAGTGAGCCTTGGCAAGCTGAATACATAGTGTTTATTCATGATGCAGATATAACCATCAAAACACACGACAGTGTGATCTTCATTTTATCATACAATGTCATTCTTACTTTATAATTTAAAAAATCGTTTTCATTTGCCACAAATCATGAAACTAAACTCCGTGGAATGTGTCCACATATCTATGGCGTCACAAATATGCGTGCAGTAATAATGACGTCACAAGCTCGATGACGCAATTTTCTACTGATCACTCATTTGACTGCGTTACATCATCTAGTTCCTGTCAGTTGTTATGTTAAAGCACGTATTGTTGTCAACAAATCTTAGAAACTACGTTTGAAAATAACAACAAACTTCAGCGTGGAACTCAGAAACCTTGAGTTAACCTTTTGAACAACAAATACACTTTAATGTTCTCGTGGCATTGTGCATCTGGGTTCCTAGTGCCGTTCTCTCGCTAACACTGACAGGCGGTTGATGTTGGTATCTTTGTAAACCTATGAATTTCTATCTTCACTTTGTAATCTACTCCATCTATCATAACCAGACATGAATTTTCTGGGATCAAAGCACTGACAGTCCCGTAACCACGGCTGTCAATCCCGGACACGACCGCCGACCATTGATGCCATGTTTGTTTACACTGTGAAAGTAGTCCCTAAAATTTGCATATGACCTCTCTAATTTGCATCGATATCCGTATATGACCCCGACGGATACCGAAAATATCCGTTGGCTTTATCCTGCCGAGAACACTATCCATTGTATGATAAATATTGATACACTGACAACTGAGGATGCCATGATAATATTTGCTGCATGTGTATATTTTATGATGTACACTTGATTTGGTGTCTGGGAAATGAACATAAAACATTACTAGATCAGATGTATGAATTAACTGATGTTGTGTTGATGTGCTTCAGGGTTGATTACACCAAGTTTCCCGGCATGGCTGAGGTGGAGTTCTTCCATGTGAACATGGTGGCTGGTGACTGTCTCTTTATCCCGTACAGATGGTAGGTACCCTTCCACTATGTAACCTACAGATGGTAGGTACCATTCCACTATGTAACTACAGATAGCAGGGACTGTCCCGCTATTTAACCTTCAGATTTTGGTATGATGTGGTCGGTAACTGAATCACCAACCTTCTGCTGTCTGGGCAGACTTTCTATCCACAAAACAACTAATGCAGTTGACTCCCATCTGTTGTTGGCAGGTTTCATCAGGTACGGTCATTCGGCAGCAACCTAGCTGTCAATATCTGGTGGGACCACTACAGTGCCAGGAGTACCGACCTGGACACCTGCGGAACCTCCTGTGACCACAGCATCAAGCTTAACAGCGTCAAGCAGCATGGAATGGACTCCACCATGTCCAACATTGGCTCCATCAAGTAAGTACCTGACTTGGGTCCAGACATTTGGTATGTCCAGCTCCCTGGAAAGTTTGGTGTTTATTTCTGTTTACACAGGCTCAGTGTATGAAGCCCAATTCTGGTGTTCTCAGCCGTGATATTTCTGGAATATTACTGAAAGCGATGTAAAACTATATACTCACTAAATCTTTTTTGATACATACATAGTAACAATCGGCAACACATCTTTGTTTTGGAGGTGACTAGGGCTGGGACGATACACTATGTCACGATACGATAAGTATCGCGATATTTTACCTGCGATGCGATACGTATCACGATACATAACCTTGAAAGAATGACACAGTATTAAGAGTTAAAATTATTTATTTCAAGGTATTTGTGTATAACAATAACACTATTGTAATAAGCAAACAAGTAACTCTGTCATACTTGCGTATGTTTCTCTAAATAACTACTTTAACATGTTTAAGATAATACTGTTTTGAAAAAAAGTCATGTATCGTTTGGCATCGATACACCAGTCGACGATACGATAGCTGTATCAAACTTAAATGTATCGTGATGTATCGATGAATCGTCCCAGCTCTAGAGGTGACTCTCTTTAACTTTGCACAGAATTTCTTTGGCTCCAGATGTAATTTTATTTGTTGTATCATTCAAATCTGGGTGATAATGAATCCGTGGTAGGAAATGGGCTTGGCATCATAATAGAATATCAGAATATGGTGCCTGAGGTTGTGTAAATGAGCTCCACAAATGTTTCTCTTGTGTGTTCTTGACAAAACACAATTGTTCCCATATAGTCAGGTAATCATTGTATAAGACCCGTAGTGTGAGAATGTCAGCAACTAACTGATGACCTCTCCTGTCTTTAGGGACCTTTCATTATTTATGACGAGTGGGGGTGATGATGATTTTAATGTGTGTGTGTGTGTGTGTGTGTGTGTGTGTGTGTGTGTGTGTGTGTGTGTGTGTGTGTGTGTGTGTGTGTGTAAAGGTGAATGCAGGCGGTGTGTGTCACCCATTTTGTTCTTGGGAGGTAGGGGGTCATCAATTTTGTACCCATGTTCGGGGTTGGGGGTCATCAATTTTGTACATAAAATATTTTAAAATTATGCTTTGAAAATATGGGAAGGGGGAGGGGTCATTGATTTTGTACATGTCATGCGTGTGTGTGTGTGTGTGTGTGTGTCACTTTGTACATAAATTTTAGGGGGTCATTCACATTGTACATGCTTCTCCATAAAAATCATCATCATGCTCCTCACCCCACCCCCGCCACCACCATAAATTATGAACGGTCCCTTACTCCACACTTTTGACATAGGTTTTCCTGATTGCTGACAGATTCAGATTTACTGCATAGTATAGTAGAGGGTACATTATTTTGTCTTAGATTCACAATATATTTGAAATTAAATAGGAGATAATCCTATTGATTGTTTACATTTTGTGTTTACAGTTTTATCACTTTTAAAAAGGTTTTAAATGAAACATTTAGCAGCGGACCAACTATATCTCCTAATAGGATTATCTCTATTCTACCATGACATATGCACCATGAATAAAACGCGTTTTAAATATGCACTCATTACCCTTGCATAGTGTTGTTTACCTTTGTAAGGGTTAATGAGTGCAAAATATTCCTACGTGCAGTGAACCGGCTCTCAGAAGTGGTTATTGAAAATTTTTCACTTCTAATTTTTCTAGTAACAGCCAATCAAAAACGAACATACTTAAATGTCATGGTAGAATTTTCAATATATTATCGCATTATCAAAGAGGAAATGTTGATGATGCGTAGCCTAGAGACATGAAACCAGAAAGTGTTTCATGTACATTTTTTCTTCAAATCCATGAATTCTTGCCATTACATCATTGAATTTAAGTGTGGTGGGGTAGAGCTGTGGTTAAAGTATTCGCTTCTCACCCCATAAACCCAGGTCTGATTCTCCATATGAAGATGAAGCCCATTTCTGGTGTCTCCGCCATGATATTGCTGGAATATTGCAGCAGCAGAAAAACTAAACTTCGCACTCATTGAATATGAATATATATATTTGGCTATTTTGATACCCGAGATAAGCTGTTTTGAGAGCATTATGGAGCTGGAAAGTGAATTAAACTTCCCTTATGTTGTCATGGATACGCAATGAACTGTTCTGCTTGTGTATTTTGCAGAGACCATCTCATCAATACAGTAGCTGTTAGAAGCATAGATCTGGATGGTTTCAAGAACATATTTGCTGTTAGTATGAATACCTTACTCAGCATCATTGTATTAGTGTGAAGGATCATTTGAAATTTCAATCGTTATGTCTGAGGACTTTTTGATTAAAGAATTTGATACCAACCTTTGATCTACTGGAGATGACAGTTCATGAAGATTGCAACATCAGTACCACACTATTGAAGCCTTAACGACTACATTTTGAAATTTCAAATCAATGTTTGAGCATTATAGTATCAGAAAGGAAATATGCCATGATAGCTTCAGTATACTATAAGGGAGGGTGGGGATATAGGAATCAGCTTGTTGGTGCATCTCTAAAACTAATGTTGATTCTTTCACTACACCTTGCAAGCACATACCCGTGAAGGTCCCGGGTTAGGAATTGGTCTTCAGTAACCCATGTTTGTCGTAAGACCTATGTATTTCAACTAGCGGGATCTGTTTGCTGATTTATGGGATTCGATGCTCATGCTGTTGATCACTGGATTGTCTGGTCACATTTACAGGCCGCTGCCATATAGCTGGAATATTGCTGAGTCGCGGCGTAAAACTAAACTCACATATGCAAGCACAAAGACCTGTATCTCAAGTGTTTGCTGTTCACATGTGGTGTGTTGTGTCTGGATGATATGCCTGAAACTGACTGGTGTCCTTTATGGCACTTTACACATACAAAGACGAGTTTGTCAAATTGCGTCTTTTGGCTGTTCGAAGTATTTGGGAGGGATTTTTAGAATTGGATGTATTTGTGGTAGGCATAGAGAGTCCCTTGCTAAAGATGGCGGGACACCCGCTAAAACATGTGTTGGCCTTCTCAGTCTCTATTCCATGGTACTGAGTTCATAGCTAAGTAACTAACCTTATACTTGGACAGACAGATCAGATATCAATACTCTCATAAAGTTCCACGGATCACTCTTGTAGGACTTTCTGCAGAATTCAGATGTTTAGGATTTGTTGGTGGATTTGTTCTAATGATCTTGTGTGTTAAAACACATGAAAGAATGTTGTTTCTTCCTACAGGCAGAAATGATACAGACTATTCCTAATGAAGAGTCCAAGGCAAAAATTGAAAGCGTCTACAATGAACTAATGGACGAGGTAGGAATGATGGCACCTGGCCAATCTTTGCTCTAAATATGTCTTTTTCTAGGTGGTAAGTTTGACTGTTCTAAGGAAAGTCTTGTTTATCCTCCAACTTCTCTCAAGGAAATGAAAGTCCTTCTCACAAGTCTCATGATGTGATGTATATGAAATACAATTCACTCAAGGATTGACTGTGCATTTTTTTCAGTTAATTGAGTTTTAAATTGTATTAGTAAACAAAGTACACACTAAATCCTGAGAATTGAATTAAACAATGAATGATATCTGCAATAGTTTCACAAAAACAATTATATAAATCAAAGCAGACTGAAATTACGAGATTGATAAACATTTCAGCTGAAGGATTACATGCAGGCGTTACATGTATCAGGGGATTTTTTAAATTCTGCACATGGTATGACATGCCCACAAAGTCAGTAGCCTCAAAAGGAAGTTCACAGGAGCTGTCAATCACATAAACAGGCAAGAAGAACTATTATAGTTACACTGTAACAAGTACAAACAAATATGGCAGGAAGGAGACTGGTCTTTCAATGAGATGGTCAGTAACCGTAAAATTCAAGCATTGAATTTTTTTAGAACGGGTAGACACAGCTGAGAAAATGTGACTCAGGAATATAACCTGGACACATGTACATGGAGAAAAATTGAAAGGTGAATTGAAAGGTGGCTTAAGCGATCCTGAATATGTTTGACCATAGCTAAAATGTCCTGTTCACAAATGATACAAGTAAACAGAAAGGGAATTCCCTCGACTGTAGTTGAGAAAGATTCCCGTATTTGTGGGTGTGGCTTCATTTTTTACTTTTTTAGGGAAATAAATGCAATAACACTTCAAAATTTCAGCCAATCTGAAAGCAGGAATTCCAATGAGCACAATGAAAATTTTGAAATAAGTGTATAGTATTCAAAACACTCAAGATATTGAGAGGGCATCAGTGGCTCAGATGTCAAAAGAGGATTGTTTTCACTGTTCTGTGATGATGGGTTTGAGTCGCAGCTTTGCCTCATGTGTTTGTCACACACTCACGGTATTCCTCACAGTGGTAAATGTCCGGGACCTGCATCCCTTCGGAATAAGCTGACATTCTATTATTTGAATAGAATAACAATCAAAAGCTTGAGTCTTCTGGCATGATGCTGTCTCTTTGCATTATTTTCAATGTTCAGTGTTGGCATTGATATTTAGACCCCAGCATTGTGACTGTGTTCAAATATAGGAGTTATGGTTGACTTAGAACAAAGATTTCATTGTGGAACTTGTCCATGGACTATCAATAGCCTTGAATATTAAACCGAAAACCACCTCACCCTCCTGTCTGTTGGCAAAAGACACAGGCAGACATTTTGTTCCTAGCAGCAAACATAAACCCAACCTACTTGCTTCCTGCTCCCAGTGTTTGATGACCTGGAAGTGGTACCAACTCATGAATGACTGTATATTCCAGTTCTTCAGAACTTTGGACGTTGATGCCGATGGTTTAATCAACACTCAGGACCTGATAACAGTTCCAGAGCAGGTGGGTAACAAAATGGTATAAAAGAAGTTAACATTTAAACCATGCTAACAGTTAAGTCTATGTTGAAAAAGTCATGTCTCTTAAGACGCTCTTAAGATCAAATCTCCATTCCTTTCACACTGCATGTATGAGATTTTGTGAATGTTATGGAAAACAGTTGTAAGTCTGTAGATGTCATAAATTACTGGACAATGATAGCTTCCCTGGTGCAGAATGTTGCCTTCAGCTACTACAGTAATGAAGGGTTTTAGAATGTATGACCTTGTCCACAGTAACTAGAAATCAATCATCCTTTGCCCACAGTAACTAGATATCAATCATCCTTTGTCCACAGTAACCAGAAATCAGGCATGCTTTGCCCACAGTAACAATATATCAGGCATCCTTTGCCCACAGTAACCAGATATCAACCAGATATCATCCTTTACCCATGGTAACTAGATATCAATCATCCTTTGCCCATGGTAACCAGATACCAATCATCCTTTGCCCACAGTAACTAGATATCAACCAGATACCAATCATCCTTTGCCCATGGTAACCAGATACCAATCATCCTTTGCCCTCAGTAACTAGATATCAACCAGATATCAATCATCCTTTGCCCATGGTAACCAGATATCAAACATCCTTTGCCCATGGTAACCAGATATCAATCATCCTTTGCCCACAATACCCAGATATCAATCATCCTTGACCACAATACCCAGATATCAATCATCCTTTGCCCATGGTAACCAGATACCAATAATCCTTTCCCATGGTAACCAGATAGCAATCATCCTTTGCCCATGGTAACCAGATATCAATCATCCTTGCCCACAATACCCAGATATCAATCATCCTTTGCCAACGGTAACCAGATATCAATCATCCTTGCCCACAATACCCAGATATCAATCATCCTTTGCCCATGGTAACCAGATATCAATCATCCTTTGCCCATGGTAACCAGATACCAATCATCCTTTGCCCATGGTAACCAGATACCAATCATCCTTTGCCCACAGTAACTAGATATCAACCAGATATCAATCATCCTTTGCCCATGGTAACCAGATATCAAACATCCTTTGCCCATGGTAACCAGATATCAATCATCCTTTGCCCACAATACCCAGATATCAATCATCCTTTGCCCATGGTAACCAGATATCAATCATCCTTGCCCACAATACCCAGATACGAATCATCCTTTGCCAATGGTAACCAGATATGAATCATCTTTGCCCATGGTAACCAGATACCAATCATCCTTTGCCCATGGTAACCAGATATCAATCATCCTTGCCCACAATACCCAGATATCAATCATCCTTTGCCCATGGTAACCAGATACCAATCATCCTTTGCCAGTGGTAACAAGATATCAATCATCCTTTGCCCATCGTAACCATTTATCAAGCATTCTCTGCCCATGGTAACCAGATATCAATCATCCTTTGCCCATGGTAACCAGATATCAATCATCCTTGCCCACAATACCCAGATATCAATCATCCTTTGCCCATGGTAACCAGATATCAATCATCCTCTGCCGATGCAAACCAGATATCAATCATCCTTTGCCCATGGTAACCAGATATCAATCATCCTTTGCCCATGATAACCAGATATCAATCATCCGTTGCCCACAGTTACTTGATATCAATCATCCTTTGCCCACGGTAACTAGATATCAATCATCCTTTGCCCACAGTAACTTGATATCAATCATCTTTTGCCAATGCTAACCAGATATCAATCATCCTTTGCCCACAGTAACTAGATATCAAGAATCCTTTGCCCATGGTAACCAGATATCAAGCATCCTTTGCCCACGGTGACCAGATATCAATCATCCTTTGCCCATTGTAACTAGATATCAATCATCCTTTGCCCACAGTAACTAGATGTCAATCATCCTTTGCCCACAGTAACTTGATACAAAGCATCCCTTGCCCACAATACCCAGATATCAAGCATCCTTGCCCACAATACCCAGATATCAAGCATCCTTGCCCACAGTAACCAGATATCAAGCATCCCTGCCCAGTAACTAGATATCAAGCATCCTTTGCCCACTGTACCCAGATATCAAGCATCCCTGTCCATACTACTCTGATATCAAGCATTCTTGACGATACTACCCAGATATCAAGCATCCTTGTCCATACTACCCAGATATCAAGCATCCTTGACACAATACCAAGATATCAAGCATCCTTGTCCATACTACCCAGATATCAAGCATCCTTGACACAGTACCCAGGTATCAAGCATCCTTGACACAATACCCAGATATCAAGCATCCTTGTCCATACTACTCAGATATCTAGCATCCTTGTCCATACTACCCAGATATCAAGCATGCTTGTCCATACTACTCAGATATCAAGCATCCTTGTCCATACTACTCAGATATGAAGCATCCTTGTCCATACTACTCAGATATCAAGCATCCTTGTCCATACTACCCAGATATCAAGCACCCTTGACATACTACCCAGATATCAAGCATCATTGCCCACAGTACCCAGATATCAAGCATCCTTGACACAGTACCCTGATATCAAAGATCCTTGATATAGTACCTAGATATCAAGCATCCTTGACACAGTACCAAGATATCAAGCATCCTTGTCCATACTACCCAGATATCAAGCATCATTGACACAATACCAAGATATCAAGCATCCTTGTCCATACTACCCAGATATCAAGCATCCTTGACACAGTACCCAGGTATCAAGCATCCTTGACACAATACCCAGATATCAAGCATCCTTGTCCATACTACTCAGATATCAAGCATCCTTGTCCATACTACCCAGATATGAAGCATGCTTGTCCATACTACTCAGATATCAAGCATCCTTGTCCATACTACTCAGATATCAAGCATCCTTGTCCATACTACTCAGTTATCAAGCATCCTTGTCCATACTACCCAGATATCAAGCACCCTTGACATACTACCCAGATACCAAGCATCCTTGCCCACAGTACCCAGATATCAAGCATCCTTGACACAGTACCCTGATATCAAAGATCCTTGATATAGTACCTAGATATCCAGCATCCTTGACACAGTACCAAGATATCAAGCATCCTTGTCCATACTACCCAGATATCAAGCATCTTTGACTCAGTGCCCAGGTATCAAGCATCCTTGTCCATACTACTCAGATATCAAGCATCCTTGTCCATACTACTCAGATATCAAGCATCCTTGTCCATACTACTCAGATATCAAGCACCCTTGACACAATACCCAGATATCAAGCATCCTTGTCCATACTACCCAGATATCAAGCATCCTTGTCCATACTACCCAGATATCAAGCATCCTTGACACAGTGCCAAGGTATCAAGCATCTTTGACACAATACCCAGATATTAAGCATCCTTGTCCATACTACTCAGATATCAAGCATCCTTGTCCATACTACTCAGATATGAAGCATCCTTGTCCATACTACTCAGATATCAAGCATCCTTGTCCATACTACTCAGATATCAAGCATCCTTGTCCATACTACTCAGATATCAAGCATCCTTGTCCATACTACTCAGATATGAAGCATCCTTGTCCATACTACTCAGATATCAAGCATCCTTGTCCATACTACTCAGATATGAAGCATCCTTGTCCATACTACTCAGATATCAAGCATCCTTGTCCATACTACTCAGATATCAAGCATCCTTGTCCATACTACTCAGATATCAAGCATCCTTGTCCATACTACTCAGATATCAAGCATCCTTGTCCATACTACTCAGATATCAAGCATCCTTGTCCATACTACTCAGATATCAAGCATCCTTGTCCATACTACTCAGTTATCAAGCATCCTTGTCCATACTACCCAGATATCAAGCACCCTTGACATACTACCCAGATACCAAGCATCCTTGCCCACAGTACCCAGATATCAAGCATCCTTGACACAGTACCCTGATATCAAAGATCCTTGATATAGTACCTAGATATCCAGCATCCTTGACACAGTACCAAGATATCAAGCATCCTTGTCCATACTACCCAGATATCAAGCATCATTGACACAATACCAAGATATCAAGCATCCTTGTCCATACTACCCAGATATCAAGCATCCTTGACACAGTACCCAGGTATCAAGCATCCTTGACACAATACCCAGATATCAAGCATCCTTGTCCATACTACTCAGATATCAAGCATCCTTGTCCATACTACCCAGATATGAAGCATGCTTGTCCATACTACTCAGATATCAAGCATCCTTGTCCATACTACTCAGATATCAAGCATCCTTGTCCATACTACTCAGTTATCAAGCATCCTTGTCCATACTACCCAGATATCAAGCACCCTTGACATACTACCCAGATACCAAGCATCCTTGCCCACAGTACCCAGGATATCAAGCATCCTTGACACAGTACCCTGATATCAAAGATCCTTGATATAGTACCTAGATATCCAGCATCCTTTGACACAGTACCAAGATATCAAGCATCCTTGTCCATACTACCCAGATATCAAGCATCTTTGACTCAGTGCCCAGGTATCAAGTATCCTTGTCCATACTACTCAGATATCAAGCATCCTTGTCCATACTACTCAGATATCAAGCATCCTTGTCCATACTACTCAGATATCAAGCACCCTTGACACAATACCCAGATATCAAGCATCCTTGTCCATACTACCCAGATATCAAGCATCCTTGTCCATACTACCCAGATATCAAGCATCCTTGACACAGTGCCAAGGTATCAAGCATCTTTGACACAATACCCAGATATTAAGCATCCTTGTCCATACTACTCAGATATCAAGCATCCTTGTCCATACTACTCAGATATGAAGCATCCTTGTCCATACTACTCAGATATCAAGCATCCTTGTCCATACTACTCAGATATGAAGCATCCTTGTCCATACTACTCAGATATCAAGCATCCTTGTCCATACTACTCAGATATGAAGCATCCTTGTCCATACTACTCAGATATCAAGCATCCTTGTCCATACTACTCAGATATGAAGCATCCTTGTCCATACTACTCAGATATCAAGCATCCTTGTCCATACTACTCAGATATCAAGCATCCTTGTCCATACTACTCAGATATCAAGCATCCTTGTCCATACTACTCAGATATCAAGCATCCTTGTCCATACTACTCAGATATCAAGCATCCTTGTCCATACTACTCAGATATCAAGCATCCTTGTCCATACTACTCAGTTATCAAGCATCCTTGTCCATACTACCCAGATATCAAGCACCCTTGACATACTACCCAGATACCAAGCATCCTTGCCCACAGTACCCAGATATCAAGCATCCTTGACACAGTACCCTGATATCAAAGATCCTTGATATAGTACCTAGATATCCAGCATCCTTGACACAGTACCAAGATATCAAGCATCCTTGTCCATACTACCCAGATATCAAGCATCTTTGACTCAGTGCCCAGGTATCAAGCATCCTTGTCCATACTACTCAGATATCAAGCATCCTTGTCCATACTACTCAGATATCAAGCATCCTTGTCCATACTACTCAGATATCAAGCACCCTTGACACAATACCCAGATATCAAGCATCCTTGTCCATACTACCCAGATATCAAGCATCCTTGTCCATACTACCCAGATATCAAGCATCCTTGACACAGTGCCAAGGTATCAAGCATCTTTGACACAATACCCAGATATTAAGCATCCTTGTCCATACTACTCAGATATCAAGCATCCTTGTCCATACTACTCAGATATGAAGCATCCTTGTCCATACTACTCAGATATCAAGCATCCTTGTCCATACTACTCAGATATGAAGCATCCTTGTCCATACTACTCAGATATCAAGCATCCTTGTCCATACTACTCAGATATGAAGCATCCTTGTCCATACTACTCAGATATCAAGCATCCTTTGTCCATACTACTCAGATATGAAGCATCCTTGTCCATACTACTCAGATATCAAGCATCCTTGTCCATACTACTCAGATATCAAGCATCCTTGTCCATACTACTCAGATATCAAGCATCCTTGTCCATACTACTCAGATATCAAGCATCCTTGTCCATACTACTCAGATATCAAGCATCCTTGTCCATACTACTCAGATATCAAGCATCCTTGTCCATACTACTCAGATATCAAGCATCCTTGTCCATACTACTCAGATACCAAGCACCCTTGACACAATACCCAGATATCAAGCATCCTTGTCCATACTACTCAGATATCAAGCATCCTTGTCCATACTACTCAGATATCAAGCATCCTTGTCCATACTACTCAGATATCAAGCATCCTTGTCCATACTACTCAGATATCAAGCATCCTTGTCCATACTACCCAGATATCAAGCATCCTTGACACAGTGCCCAGGTATCAAGCATCTTTGACACAATACCCAGATATCAAGCATCCTTGTCCATACTACTCAGATATCAAGCACCCTTGACACAATACCCAGATATCAAGCATCCTTGTCCATACTACTCAGATATCAAGCATCCTTGTCCATACTACTCAGATATGAAGCATCCTTGTCCATACTACTCAGATATCAAGCATCCTTGTCCATACTACTCAGACATGAAGCATCCTTGTCCATACTACCCAGATATCAAGCATCCTTGTCCATACTACTCAGATATCAAGCATCCTTGTCCATACTACTCAGATATGAAGCATCCTTGTCCATACTACTCAGATATCAAGCATCCTTGTCCATACTACCCAGATATCAAGCATCCTTGACATACTACCCAGATATCAAGCATCCTTGACACAGTACCCACAATACCCAGATATCAAGCATCCTTGTCCATACTACCCAGATATCAAGCATCCTTGACATACTACCCAGATATCAAGCATCCTTGACATCAAGCATCCTTGTCCATACTACCCAGATATCCAGCAACTTTGCCCACAGTACCCAGATATCAAGCATCCTTGACACAGTACCCGATATCAAGCATCCTTGACATAGTACCTAGATATCCAGCATCCTTGACACAGTACCTAGATGTCAAGCATCCTTGACATAGTACCTAGATGTCAAGCATCCTTGACACAGTACCCAGATTTCAAGCACCCTTGCCTATAGTATCCAGATACCAAGCATCCTTGACACAGTACTCAGATATCAAGCATCAGTGCTCATGATGTCGAACCCTAGGTTGCTAGGACTAGGAGAAAAGTCCTTATCACCATGATATATTTATGATCTATCAATATTACTATCATAAACATCATTCAATCAGTTATGTGACTGGCTGCCCTTTTCTTAACTGAATGTCAACTCTTGACTGATTTTTGTGAACATTGTAATGACATGTTAGTGTGAGTGTGTTGCTAGCTGTGTTTGAGTGTGAGCAGACATCGATACGTGTAACTGGGTCACGATTTAATGAATGTCCAATGGCTATATAACACCCATAATGAGAATCAAATTAGATCAGTCAGAGTCGTGTGGTGGGCCAAATCTCGTTTTTATGTGAATTTGATGAAATTAATGTTCTTCGACATTTTGTATATAGACATCTGTCTCTTTGTGTCACACAAATTTGATCAGGCCATTCAAAAGACCGGTGAAGATGTCGGATAGTTTAAGGGGCACTTAACTCTGGCAATGTTACAACTAGAAAATATACACCATGCTGACATGATGTGATGTAACAGCAATGTAAAACTCTCAGACTGACACTGTCCCTAGTGTGTCCTGAGACTGTGTCTGTGTTTCAGGCTTGGTGGGATGCTCAGACGTACATAGCAGAAGTGCAGCAACTGTTTGGCAGAGAGGACGGGGAGGATGAGGACTTGGTCACCGACCCAGAGGACTTCCATGATGAGCTGTGAATCCTGTACACCCGAAGTCCTCAATAGTCATCTACACCTGGATACATACACAATGGACCATGTCCAACATTCAGTCACACTAGACTGGAGTGTCTGTATGAAATAATTCAGTGACCTAAAAAAATGTCTTTTTAGGTATTTACTGTTGAAAATATTTGATCCCAGTATGACAACTATGAAACTTAATATACCATCCTAATGTGAAGTAGTGTTGGAGGGTTTATGAGCAAATCTTAGAGAATTATGGGAAAGGGTTTTAAACACTATGCATTATGGACATTAAAATGATGAATAAATTATTATAGTAATGTGATCTCATAATGACAGAATGCCTTTCTATTGGGAGAATGATCGAGTTTGTCGAGTGTGTCTTTCAAACCCACATACCTGTCTTACTCGTCTGTGTATTTTTCAATTCCAATTAGATGCTTTACGCGGCTGCTGCCTAATCTATTAATGTTGCATATTGATTGAAGCTCTCATAAAATGCTTTATGCTTCCTTTGGCTGTATTAGACTGGTATGAGAGGCTGTACTGTCAGTTGATCAAACATCTGCTGATGAAGGTCTTATTATCTTAAATGGCCATGGTGTTTAATAACCACAACTTTGTTTATGATACCGGTACTGCTTACATGGAATACACCTGTATCAGGCTGACAGTTCTGTGAAGCAAACTATGTAGACAGAATGTTCGCCATGCCAAAGTAAGTGTGTGGTTTAATCAGGCAAGTGAGCGTGTTTCCTTGGTTTCCTGGTTGGAACATATATTGGATGATGTCTTAAACTTTATTGTGATGACTAGTTTGGAGTTATGATAGTAAATTGTACAAATTTTCAGTTGTTTTGCTGTTTAAGTTATTTCATCTGGTAGATGAAGATGGGTGGAATGTTACCCAAAGTGAAGAGAAAATGACGGTATGTTTATTGTATGTTATGTGGAAAAGGACATGTACCTGAGACGTGTCATATGGCATTCCAGTCTGTATTCATGGAAAGTGTATGAAAGTCTCCTACATATATATTTTTCACAATTCAAGTTTTCCCTGTCCAATTTGAGTAGGATGGACTTCCAAGCTTGTGGAAACAGTATTCACACGGGTGACAAGAAACTGAATACAGTCTGTCATGGTGGCTTCTGTAAACATTAGTGATTGCTACTGAACTGTAAATGTTATATCATACACGTAACTGTCTAATTTGTCTGGTATATATGCAGCTTAGTTTTTGGTCAATGCTGAGAGATAAAAAGCAATTTGTTAATGCAGTCCTGGTTTTTGTCATTCCAAATACTTGTGTGCAAAACTGAATGTCAACTCGTCTCCAAACACAGCTGTTAGGTATTGATGTGCAGCAGGTTGCTGGCCAGATGATCAAGATATTTCCATTGGTTCTATTTTATATGTTATTTATCCTCATATTTGTTTGTTCCATATTTTCCCCCCAAAATGTGATTCTGTACCCCAGGTGAAATTTGTGATAACTCTCATGTTGACCTACCTTTAGAATTCAGCCCCACATACTTTACAAATTACATCACAATACCTTATGATGTAATTTGTGAAACTTTGTTACCAAGACCAATGGCGAAACAAGGCCTGACGGTAAAACAGATGGTGAGGCAGACAGTGAGACAGATGATGAGAGAGATGGTAACACAGATGGTGAGGCAGACAGTGAGACAGATGGTGAGGCAGACAGTGAGACAGACCGTGAGGCAGATGGTGAGGCAGACAGTGAGACAGATGGTGAGGCAGACAGTGAGACAGATGATGAGAGAGATGGTAACACAGATGGTGAGGCAGACAGTGAGGCAGATGGTGAGGCAGACAGTGAGACAGATGGTGAGGCAGACAGTGAGACATGATGAGAGAGATGGTAACACAGATGGTGAGGCAGACAGTGAGACAGATGGTGAGGCAGACCGTGAGGCAGATGGTGAGGCAGACAGTGAGACAGATGGTGAGGCAGACAGTGAGACAGATGATGAGAGAGATGGTAACACAGATGGTGAGGCAGACAGTGAGACAGATGGTGAGGCAGACAGTGAGACAGATGGTGAGACAGACCGTGAGGCAGATGGTGAGAGATGGTAACACAGACCGTGAGACAGATGGTGAGGCTACAGTTAACAGATCTGGTTCCAGTATGTCTTCATTGTCAGGAGAGTTTTATAGTTATTTTTGTTCTGTGACATTCTTGTTTATGTCCTGCTCAATGCATTCTAAACAGAGTGTAATTAGAACTGGCAATGGAGAGCATGTTATGTAAGCAATGTACGGCATGTTGAGAGTTCACCTGTTTGTTGAATCTGGTATTTTTGTAGTGCTACAATGGAGAGGGTACATCCTTATCCAGTGTAATACATGTCCATTCTAAATACACTGAACCCCTTTGCTGATGCAGCTTCATCCTGAATCAGGGGCGGTGGGGTAGCCTAGTGGTTAAAGCGTTGGCTCCTCACGCCGAAGACCCGGGTTCGAATCCCCACATGGGTACTATGTGTGAAGCCCATTTCTGGTGTCCCCCGCCGTGATGTTGCTGAAATATTGCTAAAAGCGGCGTAAAACCAAACTCAGTCAGTCAGTCATCCTGAATCAGATTCAAATGGCATGATACTATACTACTCACACTTTGCTAAGGATCACAAAAATTCACAACTTTACTTAAACGTAGATTCATAATTTAAAATTGTATCCATTTAAAACTGGATAAATAATAATATGGTAACCCCTCTTTAGGCAAACAGTCACTTTAATCTAACCTTATGCATTTGATACATGAGTAACCATAAAAATGGTTTTCGTGGCACCAATCAACCATTTTGCAAATCATGGAAAGAGTCATTGACAAGTAAACAACACCTGTCAATAGCAGGTATGGGATCCACAAGATGCAATGACACACTGAAATCTAGGATCCATGCTTACAATAAGCTTAGATATTTAAATCCAATTTGACCCCACATCATAGTTTTCTGTTGAATCCATGATTTGATCCTTAGCAAAAGTGTGAATAGTATATATATATAGACGTCCAATCAAAATGCTGTCATAAGCGAGATGAATTATGTGCTTGTTAAGAGATGGAGGCATGAACAGAGAGTAGTAAAGAGGAATCTGGATCAGGAGACCAGTTGGTGGATCTGAGTGTAAGTCTGAGGGTGACAATGCTGCTTGGTTTGTATGCGAAATACCTCAGTTTTGTGGGTTTCAAGTACTGAAAGTCTACAACCTGCCACAATCTGGGCTTTGCTCCTATTAGGCCCTGATATATGTGAATACAGATCAAGGTAGCTTACAGTGGAGGGGTTCCTCAGAGGTCCATAACAGGCTTACTTCCCTCCAGACTGTCCTCCCACAACTCGCTGACACATCACATTGTAAGTGAAATCAGTTCAACGTGGTGTTATTCTAAACTCATTAGTGATGTCGTTTTGCCGACGTCAACTTAAACATCATGTGACTGCGTCATCAGGAGAGACATCTTTGTTCTGTGATATGTGTGCTGTTGTCAGTTGTATGAACATCCTATGATGCCTAGGTTGGTACCTAGTCTTGCTGGAGTCACTGAAATAGGTCCTTATGCCTCATGCATCACAAGTTTCTGCTGTATATGTCAGCTGTGATAAATACAGGGCAGGCATGAGACAGTTTTGTCAGAGCAGAACATGAAACCTATTACATTAGTAAGTTAATCCACCTCTTTCACCTGGTTTGCTGGTAATATACAAGATCACACTGGTCATAAATTTACATGTTTGCACAATTTAGTTTTGTGTTATATTGATGAATGCAAGATAATAGAAATTGTGAATAAATGTCTCTTGAATAAACAGGGTTTAACTGATACACTGAAAGACATAAACACTTGCGTGGTGTAAACTGAATTTGAGTTTACACTAGAGGGTAAAAAAGCCTTAATGACTGAGTTGTTGAACATTTGCTTGAACTGATTTGTGCCTGTCAGGTCAGCTCCTTCATGGTGTTTAGAGACAGATTGGTTTTATTATCTGTTAATGCAATAGAGATTTCTCACTGCAACCAAACACAGGTCAGGGTAATTCAAGTCATATTTTTGTTAATTGTTACAATTCTGCTGTATTGTTTTGATGTGATCCTACACTGATTATACATCTCATGGACACAAGGAGTTTACGACAGGACACATGCTGTGATATATCCATCATGTGATAATATCTTGTGTATATGTGATAGTGTTGGTAAATATGTAACAACATTGTAGCCATTGAACAATGGAGCACACACAGTCATTGATATAACCATGACTGTCTATCAGGAAACTCAATGCCGAAAATTTGTGGTCAACGAATTACTGTATAGTCTGAAGTCATACATACAGTTTGTCTTCTCATTGTGTTCCTTGATGACATTTATGTGGTATTATTTTTCATCTTAATATATTTTTGTGCCAAATTAGGGTATTAAGAGAAAAGTTTTGAACAAAGTTTTGATTACAAAGTGCTGAATACAGGTATGACACATCAGACAGAACAGATGGGGAAACAGGCGGTGAAGCTGCCTAGTGGTTCATTTTTTGCCCATGTCAAATTTGAACAAACGATTTTTTATGGATAGACAACTTCTTTATTGCAATGGATACATCAGTTTGGTGTAGATGCTAACACCATTATCAATCAAGTGATGATGACATTTCAGTGTAGATTCTAACGCTGTTACCAAGCAAGTTATCATCACTTGCTTGATAACTGTATTAGCATCCACACTGAAACGTCGCATCCGTTAATTGCAATAAAGAAGTTGTCCATCCATAATTAATTGTTCCTGTTCATCATCCCAGCTTCTAAATGCCACTCAAAGAAGTAATGTCAAATTTGATTCCCTGCACGACTGCAATGATTAAATCCAGTGTTTGAGTTACCCGCAGGGTCAGTGCAAATATGTGCTAAATGAATTTTCACTCTGTTCAAATATATTGTTCATGTTGCTAGTGCTTGGCACCTGTGTGTATTGGGAGGGTATATATTACATATTTATCTCTGTTGTATTCATGATTGGTGCAGCTTCCTGTGTGTTCTATCTGTTATTCCATGAGTTATGTAAAGGATTGTATTCAGGTTAGTTCTAGATTGTGTGCTGTGGGGAAATGGTTGATTTTATTGATCTCATGCTTAAAGTTGGACATTTAGACAAATTGTGGAATATTTATTACACTTGTTGTTAATTTTTGATGGAATCTGTGATGTATGATAATTGAAATGTCTAACTTTGTAATTGTTTACTTAGGATAAGGGCCTTTTCAGTTTGTTAATTTCAGATAGTAGTTAGACAGAACCCAAACTATTCACTGTTTTAGAGCAAGAAGGTTGAACTGATGGTCAAAGGTTTTAAAATGAAATGCATTTTGTTAAAATTTAGACACCCACTCCCACCCCTCAACCACCACCATGAAGCCAAGACTCGTAGATACAAATGAATAATTTTGTATGAAATAGAAGTGTTGTTCATACCACAAAAAGACATACATAAGGTAGAAGCATGTGACTTGAACTGTTTATGCTGGAGGCACAAGGACAAGTGTTCCGATTGAGCCACGCTGGTCCCTCTACAATGAAGTGCCCTCATGTAACCCTGCACTAATACATTGTCTCCACTCTTGTCATTAAAACAGAGTAGGGTTGTAAAACCTCTGTTGGAAATGTCAGAAAAGCTTGAAAAAGATATCATTGGACATGGCTGTTGGCATTAGACTTATGTATTGTCTCTGTCCAATCAGATATTGGAAACTCTGTATGAAGCTCTCTGTTTTATTGTCAGGAGAAGGAACTGTTTTCAGATGAGTGTTATTCTTATTTGGTTTTGCTATTTTTTGTTGTGATTTTTATCTACACAAATAGGTTAATTTGGAATGGATTTACATGAATGTTTTTGAATGCTTATGTCATTTCTTCACCTGGCTGTCATTATTGTCCTTACGTTTGAAGGACTAAAGGATGTAATCAAAGGTATAGGTAACAGTGATCGTATTGTTTTTATTGTCTTGTGACAACTCAAAACCTCGCAATTCTCGTCGTTTTGAAGATGAAAAATATGTTGATACTTATTAGTGAAAAAATGAAGATGGCTTTCTGAAGCTTAAAGTCAAAATCTAACATAATATACAAAAAAACTATTATAACATCATTACAGTAATTTACCTTTCATTATATGTCCTGTTAAGACATGGGTATGGGGATGGTCAGGCTCACTGACTTGGTTGACACGTCATGGTATCTTATTTGGGTAGATCAATGCTCATACTGTTGATCACTGGACTGTCTGGTCCAGATTTGATTATTTCCAGACCACTGCAATATAGCTGGAATATTGCCTTATACAACAAACAAATTAACAAGCAACAAGCAACAAATAAACAAGCAACAAAAAACGTTTCTAAAAACTGATCACACATTTACCTTTTGTCAGTGAGGCTAGCAGCTCAAACACATTTATGCCAAATACTTTTGGAAGTATTGCTTTATTGCCATGTAAAGCTAAGATATTAAATACTATGTCAAGCAGCGAACAAATGGAGTAAGGCTTTAAGAGATAATAGTTTAAAATAGACATTAATGCTTTTCCACCACATTCTACGTTTTTGGTCATGGGAGTGAAGTTGGGTCAGCTATGTCGTTGCTTATTTTGTCGCTGTGATCTGTTGTCTTTCTTCTCTGACACCACTGTACTTAGGAAAATCCATCATGACAGGCTCTTTCCCACCCATGATGGCACCACAGTTGCTTCAAGAGGCTACATTTTGGTTTTCCTTATATTCAGCTCAGCTGTCATTTTGTGATACCATTTATGTCTGGAAATGTGGAGAGTGTGTCAACAGTGTTTGTTTTTTGATATAATGTACATTTTGATCTTCATTTGACTTTTACAGTTTTTTGCCATTTTATTACATTGTTTCAAAATGAAATTGTGGCTTTAAAATATCATTTCCTTGAAACTTCCAGAAGCTAAATGTTTGAATGTATTTGTTTCTTAGGATGCAATGTTTCATGTAACAGTCATGTTGTTATACATGTACTCAGAAATTTCACAAAAAGTTCAACCGCT